ATCGTTATCAGCATTAAAAGCGGCACCCGTCGGTTGGCCCGAACTAAACCCGAGCTACCCTTCTCGACTTTGGTTTGCATACTCCCGACTCTCTTCTTCTTTCCCCTCTTCTCCATTATTTCTTCTTTCTTACTGGTATCCACTTCATTTGTTCCTTCATTTTACACCCTCCCCGTACTCCTCCTTTCCCTCCCAAGGGATCTCTCTCGCCATGTCTTCGACAACCCACTTCCCCGACGCCGAGGGCTTCCAACAACAGTCTGACAACTTCATGTCATGGTTGCAAGCCAGCCCAGGTGTGCAGCTCAACCCAAAGCTCAAACTCGCAGATCTCCGAGCAACTGGGGCGGGACGTGGTGTCGGTAAGTGTCCAAAAATTCTGTTCCCCAACCGCACAAAAGCGCCTACGGAGTCTTCCCAAAAATGAGGGTCTCATAATTGTCATAGCCAGTCTCTAACATATTGCCTGGGCTCTAGTGGCACAAAGCGACATCCCGGAAGGTGAAGAACTATTCTCAGTCCCGCGTGCCATGGTCCTCACCGTGCAGAACTCGGAGCTCAGGACCCTGCTCGGAGAGAATCTAGAGGAGCAGATGGGTCCGTGGCTCTCCCTGATGCTGGTCATGGTGTACGAATATCTGCAAGGAGAAAAGTCGAGATGGTCTCCATATTTCCGAGTTTTGCCTTCTCGTTTTGACACCCTGATGTTTTGGTCACCTGCCGAGCTGCAGGAGCTGCAGGCTAGCACTATTGTTGAGAAGATTGGTCGGTCAGACGCCGAGGAGTCGATCAGGAATTCCATCGCTCCTATTTTGGCAAAGAGGCCGGATCTTTTCCCACCTCCTCATGGTATCGCGTCTTGGGAGGGCGATGCTGGTGACGCTGCCCTTATTCGAGTGGGCCATGTCATGGGGTCCCTCATTATGGCTTATGCCTTTGATATCGAAAAGGCCGAGGACGATGACGATGAGGGCCAGGCTAATGATGAGAGCTATATGACCGATGACGAAGAGGAGGAGCAGCTGCCTAAGGGTATGGTCCCGCTCGCGGATCTGCTTAACGCTGATGCGGACCGAAACAACGTGAGTTTGGATATTATATTTTCTTCATCCCTAATTCTAACTCTCTGTCATTAGGCCCGTCTCTACCAGGAAGAAGGTGCCCTAGTCATGAAGGCAATCAAGCCAATTCAACAAGGCGAGGAAATCTTCAATGATTACGGAGAGATCCCCCGCGCAGATCTCCTCCGCCGATACGGCTATGTGACCGATAACTACGCTGTTTACGACGTACTTGAGCTATCATTGGAAACGATCTGCGAAGCCGCAGGGCTTGCGAACTCAGATATCGAGTCCCAGCCCCGCCTTGAGTTCCTCTCAAGCCTCGACATCCTCGATGACGGCTATGTAATCCCTAGACCCGTCAAGGCCAACCCGTCTTTGGAAGACATACTACCCGCCGAGTTGGTGGTTCTTCTGGCTACACTGGTTCTCTCGCCCGAGGAGTTCAAGCAGCGCTTGTCTAAGGACAAGGCTCCCAAGCCAGTGTTGGACGCCAATGCGACCGCCATCTTGATCAAGGCGCTGCAGAAGCGACAGGCGCAATACGCTACGTCTCTGGCCTCGGACCTCCAACTTAGGACTTCGCTTTCTCCGTTGCCTGAAACTGGTGACGTGGATGAGGGGGCTCGTCGCGTACGGATGGCCTTGCAGGTTCGCATTGGCGAGAAGGAGGTCTTGCAGGCTGTCTTGGGCATGCTGCAACCCGCTACTTCTGGTTCGTTGAAACGTTCCGCCAACGGCGATGGTGGTGAATCGCGCCAGTTGAAAACTCAGAGGGTGTGAGCCAGTTGAAAACTCAGAGGGTGTGAAAGCCTTTTGCTTTTGCGTCTATTTACTACGGCCGATATCAGTCTGTTCTACTGGACTCCAACGGAACCGGGGAAAAAGTGCTTCTTGCGAGTGATTAAATTGTTTTAGATTTTCTGAATGTTTTTGAGCCTTTTTCTTTGCCCTCCCATTCGTCGCTTGCATCATAACTTCGGTTATCCATCATACAAAGGCTGCCCGACACCAGCCAACACCACCGAGATTCGGGAGAAAAAAAAAGATACTATGTACACTAACAAATGCAGACGCGCTCAGCCACGAGCGGCAGCCGAAAAGAAATGTCGAGAAAGAGATGTGTGAGGAGGTGGGTGGAAACACGGGGGAGAAAAGAAGAAAAATCGGGCATCAAACCAGCCAGCCCGCAAATCATCGAAACATGAGTACTAAAACTACAGGTGTGGTAAAAGGGGGAGAGAAGACGAAGGGATGAGGATCCAGATCCACGAAAAACGCCCGCCAAATGCTGTGAAAGAGGAAAAAGGGGAAAAGAGTCGTTCAGGTCTCTGACACCGCCACGACACCTGGTCCGAGATTCGACCCCATGGAGCCTGGGTGCTGACCATTTTGCTCCAGCAGTCGTCGCTGAGCCTGTGCTTGGGCTGCCTGTGCTTGCGCCTGCGCATGAGCCTGGGCAGCCACTGCAGCCTGTTCGCGCGCCTTGGCCATGGTGATAGCCCGGTGCTGCATGATTTGAATGCTGTACGCATCGGTGTCATAATCGTACTCCTCGTCGGAGTCTTCTTGGTCGAACTTGAATCGGTCGGCCTTGATTGGGTCCATGTCGACCTTACGGGCTCCCATGTTTCGACGGTCGATCATCAACCGGCCACCACGTCCAACTCGTCGTCGGAAAGATGGCATTCGGTGTGGTGGTTCGTCGTGCAGGTCTATGGCCTGCGATGCAATCTTGTCTCTGGCGAAGAGTGGGCTGGTGACGTCTAAGGAAGTATCCATCTCGCCAGATGATTCTGATGATGGAGGAGTGGGCAACTGTGCCGTGAATGCCGGTCGGAAGGTAGCCACATCGAATGTCCTTTCTGGAGAAGGAGAGAGTGGTGCACGGGTGTGATCCACGTACCCCTCGTTCCACTTGATGTGCTTGGTGATGTTCTGCTTGATATCGCGCAGAATCTCGTTCTCTTTCTCGGCCTGGACTTCCTCCAGGAGCTGCAAATCCTCTGCGCCTTGTCCAGCCTTGAGGGGCATGCGCAGTTGAGGAGCATTGGGACGTTGGGGTGGCATATCGAGCACTCTCTTCTTCGGCTGTGGGAGAATGGTTAGCATATGCATATATTGAGCGATCACAATGCCCCATGCTTACCTTTTGGTTGATGAGGTCCTCATCATCGTCCTTGATGTTGAGCTTGCGCTTCATCTCCTTAACCTCAGCACGCTGCTTGAAGAGCTGCCGCTCCATGGAGAGCATTTCCCTCCGAGCGACTTCACGCTGGCGCACCAAAGCAACAAGTTCGCGAGCATCTTCCAGCTCTTTGCGAAGACGTCTGAGCTTTTCGGCACTCTGCGCATCTCTACCACGAGTCTTGCGGATCTGACGGACCTCGCGTCTACGGAAACAGACAAATGGATCACTGTCGTCGGTGTCTTGACCAGTTTCGAACTGCGGAGATCGAAGTTAGTGATGTTTCATGGCCAATGGCACGGGATAATAACGTACCTTGAGCTGCGGTACGAGTGTGTTATTCTGAACAGCCATCCGACGCGACTTCCAGTGCTCATAAATCTCCTTGGCGAAAATCTTCATGGGATCTTCTAATGTGGCATCCATCATGTCTTGCATCTCCGCAAAAGATAGCACAGGGGGATTATCGATCGATGCGTATGGCTGCTTCATCTGCGCCGTCTCCTCGAAAAAATTCATGACCTCCTCAAAGATATCCTCTGTGCAACGACCAGCAGATGGATCGCGCTTCTGATTCATGATCTTAAGGAATACATCATCCTCCTCTGTCATGTTGTACGGGCATCCGCAACAATCCTCGACGGTCGAGGAGAAGCGAATGTACGTCGCAGGTTGCGAGAAGATGGGAGGATAGAGTTCGTCATATTGAAGATTACTGAGAATGGTCTCGGGAGTAGGGATGTGTGCCTCATTTACTTTGCCCTGGGCAGTGGCATTAATTGCGCGTTGCAGGTGAATTTCCTAACACGATCCAAGGTCAGTGCCAGTCATTTTATACTGGGGTGAAAATTTCGTGTCATCTCGGCGATGTAGTCACGTGACTGGGATAGGGATGAGGCTAAAATTAGGGACTCACCGACTCCTCGGCCTTTTCGACGCCGGTTTCGATCTGCTGTAGAGAGCTCTGGATTTCATCGTCGATGGCATCGATCTCTGACTCCCGGACAACGGGGATGGATGCCTTGGAGGTGAGCTTTTTAGGGCGCGTCCTCCCCAGGCCCCCGTACCGAGTCATAGCGTCGGGACGCGCAATAGAGCAACGACCATGGGTGGGGACGGGGTAAAATGGGAATCAGAATAAAGGTCTGTTCATGCGCTTTCTCGTAGACGTATTTTTGAGATGAAATTTGATGGAGGGGGGGGAGATATTGACGACTGAAGATGGGGTGATTCACGGCTAGCGGTTGGGTTGACGTTGTAATGTCAGCCGGCGGTGGCCTGTTTTGGCCGAGTGCACGGCCTCAGGGGCTCGCTTGCCTGTCCGCTTCCGGTTAGTGCGGGGCTGGGCGATATCAGATTCCCCGGGCCCTTGGCAATAACAACTCTTCTGCCTCCTGTTCTTGCTGTCTTGCTTGATCTGGCTCTTTGTATTTGCTGTCCCACTAGTCCCGTGACCTTTATTTGCTACCCCCATTGCATAAACTGTCACCGCACCTCGTCGCTGTATCTCTCCAACCATCCACCATGGACCAGCCGCCTTCCCCCAATGAGCCCAACGCTGCTGCGATCTATGATGCGCGGAGACGCCGAGGCTCAGTGGGTACCACTCAGCTATTTGATAACATCGTGTCTACATCCAACTGTACGCTTTCCACGGTCGGATAAGGTGTGGAGGTGATGGATCGGGCTTGTGGCTGACCTCGCGTATAACAGTCAACCGGGACGAAGTGGATCGCCTTCGCAAGCGCTTCATGAAGCTGGATAAGGTTGGTTGCGCAGTATAGACTGTCAGAGGATGTTCTAGCATACTAAACAGTCTATAGAATGCCTCCGGCACTATCGACCGTGATGAGTTCCTCTCCCTGCCCCAAGTGTCGTCCAACCCGCTCGCCACGAGGTTCGTTGCTCCCCCGGACATCCCATCCACACCCCCACCTACGATCCACGATCTACGATCTACATATATACAGAACAGTTCCTGACATTCATGATAGGATGATCGCCATCTTCGACGAAGACGGTGGCGGTGACGTCGACTTCCAGGAATTTGTGACAGGCCTGTCAGCGTTCAGCTCAAAGGGCAACAAGCAAGAGAAACTGCGGTTTGCGTTCAAAGTGTACGACATTGACCGTGACGGCTACATTTCCAACGGCGAGCTGTTCATCGTGCTGAAGATGATGGTCGGCAATAATCTCAAGGACGTGCAGCTGCAGCAGATCGTCGACAAGACGATCATGGAGGCTGATAAGGATCAGGATGGAAAGATCAGCTTCGAGGAGTTCACGGATATGGTGGAGAACACAGACGTGAGCCTCAGTATGACACTGAGTATGTTTTGACCCGCTTCGTCCTCTTGGGGGTCTTCGTTCTGACTATGGCCCAGATCAAATATGATTGCCCTTCTCACTGGTTGAGTGGCGACGTATTCAGTGGATGGTGTTTCTTCTTTTCTTCATGGTGCCCGGCTTTCTCTTTCTTGGTCTCGATATGACATGACTCAATGATCAGCGACGTGTTTGTAGTTTATTTTCTCCCGCTATGGGAAGGACATATGGAAATCATCTTCCCCATGACCTCTTTCTCCTGGCTATCTTTCTTGCAGCTGTCAGTTTTCCGTCGGCTCAGACACCCAGTCTCAATGGTGGTGGATGATACTACCTTGGAAAGTATATGCATGACAAACCGAAGTATATTAAAGTACAGTATCAACCACCTCAACCCCTTCCCTAGCTACATATGCAACAGCACCCTCCTCGACTCAACAACTCAACAACTCTCCAACAAATCACCCACACACCCCGGTCCCTACGTCATATCAGCAAGTGTGGCCAACGCACGCTTCAGTCAACTCAACCCCAAGAACCAACATCCAAAACAAAGCCTTGACGTTTCAGCCGCATGGGCAACAACCCCCGTTCCCATCCGGACCAACGCTGATTTTCCACAACAAACTAACCTCGGCGAACACCAGTTCCCCTCCCTCGAAAATCCGAAAATCCCTTTCCTTCTGGACTGCAGTCTCGTGGACCGGATGACTCCCAACCAACGAGTCGGGTACGGGAGCAGCCACAGTGACAAATCCTTGTTCACCCAACACATTGCGGGTGGAGATGGTACATCTTTCATGTTATTATTGCCTTAACCTTTTGCAGCCCACAAACACCACACAACCATTCTGCTGTTCTATGTTGTTCTTTCCGTTCTCCCGAACCTCGGCTCCCGTCCCATCCCTGTCTGCATACATATGTAGTCTGTGCATGGCCACGCCGGTATGCATAAAAAGAAAGAAGGAAACGGAAACGCGTGGAAGGTAAAAGGTAAAAGAAAGTAGGTATACTTAGGTATATCTATACTACGTATATGACCGTCGGGTAAATATGTCGCAAATTATATACATATATGTATATATTTGCTAGAGTATACATCTGCGACTACGAACTACATATGTACATATGTACTCCGTAACTAGTACCTATTGTATCTCCATCCAACTATTATCTCTACGCCACTCTCATCCATCGTCCACCCCCGTCTCGGGACGTCCGTGCTCTGACTGGGCAACCAGACTGGATGAGCGTGGTGAGACGATAATTTCGGAATTCCGAGGCACTGGATTCGCTGGGTCTGCAGTCCGAGGTGCAAGTCGTACAGGGCGAGGCACTGTTGTTTCGAGGGAATGGTGGTTCTATTTCTTAATAGAATTTTCTTATCTACGAGGGTAGGGGAGGAAAGGAAGGGTAACGGGGATGAATAGAAGGGGAGGGAGAAGAGGGGTGCCATGTTACTTTCGGTCTACTTACCCTCTACATAAAACATCCGATGTAGGTAGCAGTAGTCTGTTTGTGTTTCAGGGAGATTTGTTACCTACCTTGGATTATGTCTGAGTCTCTTGATCATGGGATTGGGAGAGTGGGATACATAGGGAGATTTTGGTCTAAGCTTTTTTTCTTTGGATTCTAAGATTAGACATTAGTGCATGTTTCGTCTGACATGTTTGAAGATATCTAAACCTGAAACCAGGGTGGCTTTAGGCAGATATAGTTTCTTTTCTCGATAACAGTATCTAGTAAATAGTCAAAAGGCGATTGTTTCAACAATGTATTATTATTCCCTTCTTTTCGCCCTATTACAAGTGCCCAAGCCCATAGTACCCAGTTCCTCGTGTTTTGTGCTACCGGCTTGTCTATCCAACGTGTCGGGCTCCTGGTTGCGGGCGATATAGAAGCGCTATGATGTAGAAGTCCGAGTACACGCGAGTCTGTCTGTTTGTCCAATACTTTATTTTATTTTATTTTTCTTCAGGAGAGAATTTGATTTATTTCATGTCGCACATCCGCAGATTGCATCATCCTATCCTGTTTCGTTGAATCTGAGCTTGTGGATCAAAGTCTGCATATCTAGTATTAAGTACATATTAAGTACATATCAAGCACATAGTACCCTCACAAGTACCAAGTAGGTTAAATGTTCATAGGTAAGGTTAAATGTAGATCGTAAGAGGATCTTTCACAAAAACCGGATCTTGGAGGTCGCATCCGCAGTAATAGTCTAGTGGATTGTCTCCATCCCAACCAGAGTGTCGGATCCAGTTTAGGGAATACACAATTAGGGTGTAAATAATAAACAAATACCTTTGTCCCGGTAAGTACTAATGATAATTGCTTTTCTCCCCCTTGAGACCTGAGCAATCAGAAACCCGAGGAAAAGGAAACTGACGTATGTAGGTGGCCGTCAGGGCTTTATCCAATCGGGCAATGCTCCACTATGTTGTATTTGAATTGATTTATATTGGACTAGTACGTATATAGGTAGTTTCATGTATATAGAAAATAAATCAGATGACTCTGATCTTATATACTAGGTATTATTATATCCTATTATTATCTCTTATGTTATCATATCAGCCTCATGCATCTCCGCGAGGTT